TGAGGGAAAAAAATAATCTGATACCTTTTGCTAATCCATTTCTTTTTTAAATTAGGAACAATGATCACAGGAAGTTGTAAGTTCTAGTATACACGCAACCCATCCCTGTACTCTATAATCAGTTAAGACAAAGATAAAGAGACCCAAACAGAGGAGAAAACCGCTAAAGCAAATTCTAGCTGACGTGGTGTGCTCATTTTTATCCTGTTTAAATGTGTTTGTGCTAAGACCTTACGGAGCTGGCAATACATTCATTTCCTTAACAACAGTAAAGAAACATAACCATCCAGCCAGAAATAACAAGCAAACAAACTGGGCAAATCTTCATAAGTTGAAGAATGCCTAGAGTTTAACATAGCGGCTGTCTTAGCAAGCAGGAAAGACCGGTTGGATCATTGTGTGCCTGACAACATCAAATCATGGGGTAACCAGGGGAGGAAAGGGCAGCCAGACCTCTTGTGCCCTGCTACTCATGGGAACACAGGCAGTCCACAGCTGAGGCGACAGTAGCTGTTGATGCTGCCTGGTGAGGGCAGAGAGTTTTAATCACTGCAGAGTAGTCCCCATCCTTCCCAGCAGTGTTCGCCACTAAAGAGTCTGAATCTCAGAGATAGAAACACCAACATCACCCCAGCGTATGGAACCCACCAGTGTTATACACAGGGAAAACAGAGTTGAATCCAAGTGGGTAGAATTCACATCATCTTTATAGCCCACATTCATTAACTTTGAAACAGAAACATTATAACATGTTTATTAGTGGTATTTGGGTAAAAAATTATAAAATCCCAAGTACCCCATTTTCATGGGCTAGATACCCCCCCCTTAAGGACACTCCATTAAGACAGGGAACAAGGCAGAAAACCCTATTTGGGTACTTCCGGATAAATGCATTCCTGCAGTGAACTGGCAGCCAGAAAATGTACTCAAAGATGCTGGTATCTGTTCTCAGATTTTATGGAAATCTAAGCAGGAAGAAATTAGCACGCTTCTTACAGAACTTTGAGGCCTCTGAAGTACATCGCTTTTATTTGAACAGCTGCACACTAAAATGAGACGCCATGCAGTTGATTGTTACAACTTAACCAACAGACCCTATGAGCCAGGAAACGTTTAAGAGCTGTGCGGTTGTTGGATATTTCTCTTCTTTTGTTAGGTTGATTCAGCCGTGCTCTGAATACGGCCTTCCTAATGATGAGATAGATGAAGAAGGTTTCTTGTGGTGAAACTCTCTAGTGGCATGGAAAACATGGAGAAGCCTTACACCAGAAATCATCCAGATGAAACCAAACCACAGTCTCCTATACTTGTCTGTTATCTGTTTGTGGTTAATGAAAACCACCAGGCCTTCCTACTTGCTAAGATAGTAACCACATTAACCCAAGGCACCCTTCAATCTTTGAAAATTTGCTGAGTTTTTTAGCTTTGTTTTGCCTGGGTGGTTGTATTCCTTCTCTGAATTAGGTTAAGTTGCATTAATCCTTTACTGTTGGGTCCATAGTAGGGTTGGTGAATGGTAAAGGTGTTTAAGAGATTCACGGCTATTTCTTGCTTTTTTTTTTTTTTTTTTTTTGAAAATGAGCACGGGAGTGAATACCTCTACCTGGCCTGGTGTTACTAACTACAAACCCAAGCTGTCCGCAGCAGCACACGGTTTCATTGGCCACTATTAGTCTTTTATTGTCACCACCAAGTTTGTTTCCCTGTTAGCTCCATTGTTAATCATTTCTCTATTATGGCTTCTCTCTTAGAACATGTGTTTCCAAAGCAGATTACCTAACAGTAAGTTTTCTTTAATGGGCTATAACATAAGTAATTTAGAGCTCTATTTAAATGTAAATATTGTTTCAGAAAGAAGTGTCGATTATATTGAGTAATTTAAACTGCTTTTAAAAATGGCACCGCAAAGCTTCATAGCCAAGATAATGTGCATATTATACGCTTTGAATATATTACTTAAAACCTACATAAAAATCTTTTGGCTTTATATTCATACTTATAATTTTTTTTAGTAAAACAGAACTGCAAAAACATAAAGTCCTGGTGGCTTCATGGTACAAACCTGTAATCCTGCTACTCAAGAAACTGAAACAGAATGACCCGAGTTCAAGGCCAGCCTGGGCTATGGAGTGAACCCAAGGCCAGCATAGAAGGTAAAAGAAGGTTGGCACTTTAACTCTTCTAAGGAAAGCTGGTCTGACACATATGAGTCTTTAGGGCCAATGCCTAATGCATGTGGGTATGGAGGAAACTAACATAGGGGTTTGGGCACGGGAGAGAAAACCCAGAAGGAAAACTATCAGCCCTTTCACCTTATCTTCTCAGGTATCGTTGTCATAACCATGCTCAGTGCTAAATAAGGGACCGATAAATTTTTTAAAAAGTGTCATGTTTTATTTAATAGCTACATGCATCCCCAAAGCTACAGCTAGACCCTTGCTGCTGTGCACTGTATAGAACGAGTGTGTGCTGGGGGGGAGGGGCAGAGTGGTTTCTATCCCTGTCTCTGCCCCTTGACCACCATAGTAGAGATCATTTGGCCTCAGTGGATGTGTGTCAGCACACAGAATTTACCTTAGAGGTCACCAAGTTGAAAGACAAGGTCTAGTTCACTGCAGGAGCGTCTGTGTCACGAAGCCATTCTGTTAGTACTCAAAGCAGTGATAAGGTTAAAAGAAGCAGCTGAGACAAAACTGACAATCAGCATGGCTGACATCAACGACCCAAAGATCAATGTTTCTCAGTCAACCTCATTCCCACCACTACCTGGTGTTAGAAGATTGCCTGGTGACCATGAAATCAGAACAAGCAGAACAAGCTGGCTGCTCTTAATGGACAGCGCTAACAAGGGTCTACTGCCTGATGTAGCATCCTCACAGAAGGATGTCTGTCCTGAGGAGACACAACATCCTCACGGCGGTGGGGTCCAGATCCTCATAGAGAGACACAGCATCCTTACAGAGGTACCCAGCATCCTTATAGAGGAACACAGATTCTCATAGAGGGACCCAGCATCCTCATAGAGGGACTCAGACCCTTATAGAGGGAACCAGCATCCTTATAGCAGAACTCAGCATTCTCCTAGAGGGACCCCGGTGCTCATAGAGGGACCCAGATCCTTATAGAGGGACACAGCATCCTTTTAGAATGATACATCATCCTCACAGAGGGACCCAGATCTTCATGGAAAGAAGTCTGTGCTGAGGAGACCCAGTGTCCTCATAGGGAGACCCAGAATCCTCACAGGGGGGTACCTATATCCTCATGGAGGAAAGCCTATCCTGAGGAAACCCAGGCTCTTCAGCTATAGGAACTATGAATGTGTTCCATTTTTCTCTTGCATTCAAACCTCAGGACACTCCCTGATCAGGGTGGTGGTGTCTGGGTATTTTTATAAAGCACACCAGCAACACACTTAAAATCTGTATCACAAAATAAGCCACTTTATTCTTCCTTTTTGGTGAATGTTTTCTTAACTTCCCAAATATCCAAAAATGACCTACTGTCATCCCTTATGGACTATCAGCCTGAGCAGAATCCTGTTTGAAATGTTTCTACCTCAGATTTAATTTTCTCTACTTATTAAAACATTAACCAAACTGAAAAGAACATATTTTCACTTTAGTAAGTATCTATTATTCCATTAAAAATAGAGCTCATTTTTCCTGCATTGAATATGCATTTGTTCTTTTCCATTTTGATGCTGAAATTGAAAATCCTCACAAAACTCATTCCTAATTTTAGAATGTGTGTTGGTCTAAAGCTGGTTAAAGCAGCATTTCCTTGAAAAAGTGTAAAGTCTTCTTGTCCCAGGGATAAAACTTTACCTTTCTTTAGACTTTTAGATTATAAGGTATACAAGGAACGCCTTGAATTTAAGTATTGAAATACTAAATAGCTCACTAATTCTGGAATGAGTGCTATTAATTTCCAAGTCACTGATATTACCCTGAAAATAAGATTTAGTCATTTGTTTGCTTGTTTATTTGTTTATAATAAGAAATACCTTTAGTCCTGACAATCGCAGTCCTTTCCCTGGACCATGTTCTGTCTTTGACAACAGATGAGCCTACCTGGCTCCTTTAAATTTTTCCTGTAGTTTGTAACTGCATTTTTAACTCCCAAGAGCCTCAAATCTCCCTGCACTCTGGAAACCAGCAGTGCCTCCAGATCTCTAAATTCATCCTGTCCTGTCATTATCTACTTTCCTGGCCCCTTCAAAATGTTGGACAATAGACACTGAGACCAATCTGCAAATTCTCCCATTGACTTTGGTTAAGGACAAAACACCCCAGAGGTCATTTGGAGAGAAAGGTGACTTCACCAGACAAAACAAGGTGTTTTCAGAACACATTTTGAGCCAGCTGCTTCCACGGGTATCTACGGGGTAGACATAACTCAGAAATGTGTCCCTCGTTCTACAGTGAGACAGTCTTTGCCAAGGTGCTCAGACTAGACATGAAACGTAAACCAACAAAGTTCAAAGCTCCTCCCACATCTCCAACCTCTGCCCATGTTCTCGGCTCTATCCGCCTGGCGGATCTTTTTGACTCTCAGGCCAAATATTGCAATATTCTTCTCAAAAGGTTACTCTGTCTCTCCCTAGCCACAGTTCTGGCTAGCAGCCCTTCAAGGACACCCCAGCTCCACCTCTCTCTGCATCAGTATTTGACAAGATAGTTCCTGGGCTCAACACAGTTGCAAGTGTGCAATCCATTTTCCCAAGCAGGCTTATCTGGGAGCATTCCTCCCTCTAGGATTTTTCTGCTATCAAATTGCAAAGGAGGTTTGCACGGTCACAGCCTCTGAAATCTCCAGGGGGGAAGGGGGAGGAGGGCATCTCTTTGCTTTTGTTGTTGTCTGTTGCATGTACACTCTTACTCCTGCATTTGTGTTGCTTCAATTTTATCATAGCGCATTTGGCTCCATGAATCGCTCAAGAGTCTTTGATTTTTCTAAAGAGGATCAATATCTTTCAAGCTACTTAAACTTTAGATTACCTGTGAGGTTTGCCTGTCGCTTTGTCCTCTTTATGGTCCTCACAAAATGCAGGAAGTGGTTTAGTTGGCAGGAGGACTCACGAACTTCTTCAAATCCATTTTCAGTGAGTCTGAACTCTGCGGCGCTGGACTTTCCCAACCACTCACTCACTGTACTTCTCTGTAGGCAGCCACTAACAGGAATCTGGTGCGTGCACAGCGTTTTACTTTAATCCTTTGTCCTCCTGGTGTCTGAGTCTCCTGTTTCTCAGGGAAGTCCTCCCTTGACTCAAGACTACACAAAGTCATGGTAGTTTTAAGTGTCAATGAATCTTACTGTTATGTAGCACTTTTTATACATAGTGACTAGAAGTTTCTGGGCCATTCTAGTTTGCTCTTGGCTTTAGTGCGGATTTTTCTGCAGTCACATTTAGTGTGGGCTCTTGGAGACGGCCTTTTTCAGGCAACAGGAATTTCATAATCCTTTGTGAGTGCTTTGATTTTCTGTTTTATACGTAAACATAAACAAATATGGATCATATCAGTTGCTCTTTCAACTTTTATTAAAATAGCGGTTCTGTTTGCTTGGCTTTCTTTTTCTTTTCATAATGATTCGCTTCATAGACATCGTTCCTTTATGTCTAGATATGTAAACACACTCTCTTGCAAAGTCTTTTGTTTTACTGCCAGTAAATTCTCCTCCCAATTTTGATTTGTTGACTGTGTTCCTCAGTGGGTGGGGGAGATGTGAAGGGGGAATCTGCTTCCTCTCTCCTACCTGCTTCCAACAGCTTTCCTTACCCACAATCCTCATCTTCTTATTTAGATTCAGGGCTCTCTCAGGTGCCCTGGCCTTCCATCCTGACGATATTGAAGGCCATGGAGACAGAGTCACCAGGCCAGTAAGGACTGGGTATGTTCTTAAGTCTTTCTTTTTCATGCTATTCTGAAAAAGCAGAGCTTTGTAGAAGCCGTAACCCTTGGCAACGAGTGACTATTTGCAGACTTTACAGAACACCTAGAGCATTTTGTCAGGACTGGAACTGCCATGCAGCTCTGACATTTCAGGGCTCCCAAACTCCTAGGAGCACAGTCTCAGCCCCTGAATTCTACTGTGTGGTTGTGTGTGTTTCTAAAACATAAAGATTGGTTTTTCATTTGAATGTAGTAGCTCTGTTTACACGTTGCGACTTTTCTAAGGTCTGACTTTTTATTTGACTTTTGTATTCTCTCAGTACTCTGTGTGGCTTTTTATGCACATCACAGTGTTCCAAGAAGTTCCTGGAGTCAGAACAATTTCATTATCTCTAAGCAGAAGCTGAGTGGGGATAGTCACAAGAAGCGTAATGTAGAGAAGGGGTTGGGTTATGGCTCAGTGGTGAAGTACTTGCCTAGCACAGGATTGACCATGGGCATATTAGAAGGGGTAAACTAAGCTCACAGGCTTCACTTCTAATAATTTAGAAATAAAGGGACCAGGCCCTCACTCAGCCCCCTTCTTTAGCAGCCATGACAGGCTACAGAAAAGACATGTAGGCCTCTGACACAAGGAAACTCCAGATCCTCTGGCCTCCTGGAGTCTAGGGCCAAAACTGAACACAAAGAAACTCTAGACACCACCCCCAGCCTCCTAGATACTTGGTTCCTGGGAACTGTTTGGCCACAAAAGAAACTCCAGGGGAGACCAAAACCTCCCCTGTAGTCTCCAGGATATAATTCTGAAAACTTTTGGTGTCTAAGAACAACAGGCCACCTGCAAGTAACAAGACAATGCCATAGAAACCACAGAATGTTCCCTCTCAGCACTGACCAATGAGAATAATTGGTACACAGGTATTTCATGCCAAAATATGACTTTGAGAAATTCTCCTAATTGTTCCCAAATTGATATCAGAAACCAACCTGTACCTACTGATGTAATCCTGTAACTTTTGTCTTTAAAACCTAGCAGTAGACAGGGAACTTCACTCCCTCAGGAGGCTGCTTCATCAGCTTGCTAGATGGGGTCCCTGTCATGGTTAAATGAACAGCCAATACAATTAATACCTTGCTTCTGCAGTTTAGTGGGCCTCTGGAGATCTTTGAAGCTTGGGCGCAACACATATAAGCATAAATATATAAATATATAAATATATATATATCATTCACAAATACATACAACTATAATATATATAATTTAAAATATATTACTGTAATCTATAATATATTTTACTGTAACATGCAATGTCTAATATATTGTTATAATATCATATTTTATATAACAATATTATGCACACATACTCTATGTAGGCCTGACCTGATGCTTGGGTGAACTGTAATTCTCCCTTTAGACAGGATTCCAAGATGCCTTTCCTGTCCCTGAGTACAGGGTGTTTCTGAAGAACAGTGATACATTCAAATGGTTCCTAGTACAGTGACCAAGTGCTCAAGAATTTGTTGGTGACAACAAGGATGTTATACAATTCAACCCTAGGGAATCTATTTAATATCCCTTCTATGTATTTCCACCACTGTTGCCCCAAATGTTTCTCTTCTCCAACTGCTTTCACAGCTTAGACATTGTAATGGTGAAGTGTATGCAAATGACTCATCTATTCACCCTGCATTATACATAATTTCCTTTTCCAACAGTCCTGCCTGAGCCAGAACTCATGTATCTCTGGCTGTGAAATTAACTTCACAGCCTTCCCACCTTTTATTTCTTCTCCTTTTAGATTTTTGTCCATGCTAAGTACCAGTTCTTTGGTCTCAGGCTGGCATGTGTCCCAGAAGCAGCTAAATAGAGTTTTGGTCATGCAACTTAATAACTTCCGTATTCAAAATATGATTGATCATTTAGAATCTTAAATAGTCTTCACTCTACCAGTTACATTGTATCTCTGCGGCCACATACCTGGGAAGAAGCAGCTGGATGGGGGAGAGATATGTCTTGGCTTGTAGTTAGGGGGATGCATATAATCCATCCTGGAGAGGAAGACACAGCAATACAGGTCTAGCAGTGGGAGCTCCCTCACATCTGAGAGGTTCAGGAAGCAGTGGGGGTGGGGTAGATACTGAATGCTATGCGCATTCAGTTAGAACTGTCTGGAACCGTTCCCAAATTCAGTCAAGTACCACATGTCCACCCCTTAGAATTTCTCCAAGCTAGAGCTTCAATGGTTAAGGATCTCCCTTTGGTTACAGAGTATCTTTGTTGTCACCATGCCAACTTTGAAGATTCAATTTAACGGCACCAGTCTGCTCCACAATCGAAGGCACCCTGTTTGCTCCGCCCATCGTGTCTGATACGCTAACCACATTCAAGCCATTTTTTTTCCTCACCAAATTAAGCGGTTTTTGTATCATCTCCCTTTTAGGTCTTATCATACATCTCAATAAATACGGTGAGCAATGCAGCCACGCTGCACAGCCTGAGATGCTATGCTTGTTCCTACTGCCTCTGTCAAACAGCTGGGCCTGAGGCCGTTTTCTTTTTAAAATTCCGTATCACTCAAGTTCTTAGGAGTCACGCAGAATGCAGCCAGAGTTTTTATAAACAATAACATAATGCCCTTTCATCCATGTCTCTGTAGAATTCTTATGCCTTCTAAAACTTTGTGGGCAACTTCCTGCAAGATATTCTGGTGTACAAATAGTGGTACAAACATTATGGGGGGTAACCAACAACTTTCTGATTGGATTTAAGGCCCACTCTATGAGACGGAACCCATGCCTGTCACTGATAAAGTATTTAAGGACCTGAGACTAGATAGATCTTGGGCCTAGTGGACAAGTTACTACTATGATTCTGCAAAAGAAACATAGCAATAACATGCCTCCCGATGACATGCTGCTCTACCCATAGATCAATGCGTGGCACAGCCATCATCGGAGAAACGTCTTGCAGTAGATGGGGCTTAACACAATGACTCACAACTGGATGACACACAGAGAGTGAGAGACATTGGAGTCCTTGGTCTTCAATGGGATGCTTTTGTCAGTCTTTGCCTCAGGGCTCAGGGATCTATATGGAAGAGGAGACAGAAAGGTTGTAAGAGTTAGAAAGGATTGGATGACTCCAAGGAATGGTGGGGTCTTCCGGACGTGCCAGAACTGATATACATATGAACTCACAGAGACTGCAGCCTCATACACAAGGCCTTCACAGGTTCAAGCCAGATGGAGTTCCAGAACTGAGAGGGGAGGTAGACACAAGGAGCTATCTGCAATTGATACCCAGTGGCAAAGAGAACATCAATTTTCTGTCATGAAGTCCCACTACGTGCATCAACCCCAATGCAGGCCGGCCCCATGCCCAGGAGTAGTTGGTCAACCCAGAATGAATGCAATAGCATCTTTGTGGACTTTTTTGGTTGTTTGTTTCATTTTGCTCTACTGGGGAATTTTTCTCTAATTGGTCTTTCGCTTATTTGTTTTGGTTTTCGATTTTATGTTTTTGTGTTTAGGGGTTTTGTATTTCTTGTTTTCTATTTTTGTTTCTTTGTTTGGAAGACAACATAAAGTTGGATACGTAAGGAGATAGGGAAAACCTGGGAGAGGGAAAACACATGACCAAAATATATTGTATGAAAACCATTTTTTTCAGTAAAAAATAAAGATGGAAAATACCTAAGGTGGAGAACAATAGAGAAAAGCTCCTAACATCAGTCTCTGGACTCACAGATGTGCATACTATACATACATATATACATACAAACACATACCACAATAAATGAATACAATTTTTTTAAAAGAGAGAAAAGTCACTTTCAGTTTTAGAAACAACCAAATGTTGCGGTTGTTTCAGATGTATCATGAGTGTGTTATCTTTGGGTACACAGTGGAATAAGGCTTCTTACTTCTTGGTTGGAAAGCAAGAGAGTGAAAAGATAAGCCCGATGTCCCACAGTCCCCTTTGCAGACACATCTCCAGTGACCTCAAGCCTTCTACTCACCCCATTCTTCAACGTTTCCACAACTTTCCAGTCATTCGATGGCCTCAAGTCCATATGTGTGTTTATTATGATTAATGTTGACCGTCAACTTGATGCAACCTGAAATGACACGGGAAGGAGGTGACTGCTGAGACCAGGTTGGCCTACAGGCATGTGTGAGGATGACTGTCTTGACGGATGTGGGGAGACTCATCCTGAACGTGAGTAGTGCCGTTTCATGGTCCGGGTCCTGAGCGGTCGGTGTAAGAGTGGAGAGGGTGAGCTGAGGGGCAAGCATGTGGGTTTTTGTTCTCTCTTCTCTGAACTGTGACTGTGACATGACCAGCTCTTGTGACTGTGACCCGGAATTATGAACTGAATAAGAATAAGCTCTCTCGTCATTCTGTTGCTTTCTGTGTGGAGTGTTTCTCCTGCGACAGAAATGAAACTAGGGCAGGTGGTACCTCAAGTCACAGGGACAGCAGCGACAGCATCCTCTTTCTCCTAGGTGCCCGCCATTCATCAGCTTACATAAAGTGTAAGCCTAACTCAGTATCTGAAAAGCGATTTATAAACCATTTCTGGTAATTAGTATAAATCCATGCCGCCTTTGGAAAGGTGTACTCATTTCACTTCCTTTTGAATACAACACAAGCTCAAAAATAACCTTTGACACAAAGCAGTTCTCAGCTTTCTCCCCATCAGCCAAGAGCTCAGAGGTGCCGTTCAAATTCTTACTCTCAGGGTGCTATTGCCTCATTCTCCCCAAAGGGTCATTTCCTCCCAGGAGTGGGCATCTGTGAGCTGCCACAACAGGAATCCATGGGTATTGTCATAGAACATCTGTTATTTCTCTGGATTCTTTATGGTTAGCTTTTTGAAATTCACACAAAAGTTATACTAGGCAGTCTTGTGTGATGCCTCAACACATGAATGTGTGTAATGATCAAATCAGAGTAAACACGTCTCTATCTCTTGAAGTACGTGTTCTTTTGGAGGTTAAGACATGTCAGATAACTTAATTTTTTAGTGGCATGCGGTCACCTTCTTTGTAGTCTCACTACCGTGAAACAGCTCTCCAGAATTTACTTATCTCTCCCTTGACTTATTGCCCAGTGACTGGTGCTTCTTATCCTGTCTCTCTTTTTCTCCTGGTCTCTCCAGCTTTGGCGTGTGGGAGAAACAACCACTTAACCGATGGTTGGGAACATTTTATATTAAAAGAGATGGGGATATGTTTTGCAATACAGGCATAATTTGCTTGGTGTTTAAGATAAAGCGGGAGGGCCGGGCAGTGGTTGCGCACGCCTTTAATCCCAGTACTCGGGAGGCAGAGGCAGGCGGATCTCTGTGAGTTCGAGCCCAGGCTGGATCGACAGCCTCCAAAACAATACAGAGAAACCCTGTCTCGTAAAAAAAAAAAAAAAAAAAAAAAAAAAAGATAAAGCGGGAGGAAGTAATTCCTCCCTTTTAGAGAAAAGTTAACATCTCTATGCCTAAAAAACCCGTTTTATTTTTCTAATGTTGTCTTTTGCTAGACTTCTGAGCCCTTTATAATTTTATGCCTAGCCAACAAAAGCTTTGCGGCTGACGGAACACCGGGTTGTGCATGGCTCGTTTGTTCCTTTGACTCATGTGTTGCGATCCAGGTGGAAAATCAGCATCTGCTATGGTGCAGAACGACCCACGGGGTTGTTTGCTCACGAAACGTCGATTTCTAGAAAATGGCAATCCGCGGGTTTTAAATTATCCAAGCTGATATCATATGTATTGATTTTAATATTTCAGTCTACGGTAGCCACAGTTTTTCTCTACCCAGACCATCGTTACCGTCATAAAAAAATTCAACACGGGTCACACCTGGAACGTATCTCGAGGGAAAATGTTCTACCCCAGGTCATCAAGCCGTTCAGCTGCTTGCAGAACGAACAGCATTAGAGTACGGAAAGCAAGTGCTCGCTACACGGGCTCAGATGTGTCCGCTTGCCCGTAAAATCATCACCCCGCTGATCTAACCATGCTCATCTCGCGCTATTGAAGGGTGTATTATCAGTTTAGACAGCCCTAGAAGGGAGAGTGTGAAGCCATCTCAGCTAATTTGATTTGCTTATTTCCTCTCAGACACTCTCCCTATTTCCCCGATTATTATTACTTCCTCATAGTGGAAACTAGGAAGCGCTATATTCTGCTTTTCCAAATTACTCTTAATTTATGATTCCATGTGCGTCTGCATAGCTTTCGAACCTGCCACTTTATAGCTCTACTTTATGAAATTAATTTTACCAGGCACATTCCTGTGGACCACATTCTTACAGCTCTGGAATAAACTTGAGGTAGGCCGTATTTCACGCAGCCGTCTCCTATTCTCAGATATTTGGTTTTCCCCTGCTGGGTGTTTGCTTTTGACATCACAAATTGCATTACTATAAATATTTTTAAAGTAAATAATTTCTGAAACTGCTTATTTCCTTCCAGAATGTTCCAAGGAGAATTACTGTGATAAATCATAACTGGTATTTTTTTCATGGCTTGTCACACACATTTTCAAGAAAACCTCGAGCTGATACTTTTTTGTCATTCTCAGATCCAACAGCATTTTGTAATTCATATTTGCTATATGTGTATAGTGACATCTGAATGTTGATAAAATTTAGACTCACTAAATAAACTGTTGGGATATGAATTAATCTGTGCCATGGCTTCTGCTTTTAGTTCCCAATTATCCAAAGCTCCATTTGTTTCCTTCAGTGAATTATCTAATGCCATTTGAGGGTTGGTTTTTGTAAACTTTGCATCATTTATTTGCATATTTCAGAAAGCAAACTGTTTAGCAAGAATTATCAGAAGCATACAGGAAATTGTCATTGCATGGACAGGAAAGTATAGGCAATAATATGAAATATATGCAAACTCTATAGGTCTGTAGGTCTGTTTTGTTTTTGGGTTGTTCTGATTTTTGGAGGGGGGAATAGGACAGAATCAGAATGTATTCAGTGTGTTTGAAACACCTATTTCTCTTCCCTGCTGCTCTAACTCTTACTCCTACTCACAGACCAATGTTTATTATGACTACATACTGCTATGGTATTTCTAAGTATGTATGTAAATTTAAAATTAGATTGCAAACCTATCATATATTTCAAAAACTATGTGAGTGTATTTTCTACACATTCCATTCTGTAACTTTCTTTATATGCTAAAAATTTTGTTACTTAAATTTTATTCAATTTGAAATATATAGCTCTAGCATATTTATTTTAGTGACTGCATACTATTCCAAATTATGTATTATATTCTAATGGAAAATTACTAATTTTCAGGGCTTTTTTCATCTACAGATGATAATTAAAAGAATTTCACCTTGCATCTCCTCTATTTTCTCACATTTTAAACTATCAAATGAAATATAAATATATTTTACACTTTCCTCAAAAATGTCATAAATGCACTTTTGTGTGTTTTACTTTTAACACCTAACTACTGTATCTACCTGCAGACTGATTTTTGTTTATACCATAAGATGTAGTGAGTTACATATTTTCCTCATCATAATCAGTTGCCCTCAAAAGCATTCGTTGAATTATTTATTTCTTTTTTTTTGTATTTTTTATTTAGAAAATTATTTATTTATTTTACATATCAATCCCATGTTCTCTCTCCTTGCAATCTTCCCATGGCCCCCACTATTCCCCCCCCCCATACAATCCCCACCCACTCCCCAAGGACAGTGAGGCCTTCCATGGAGAATCATCAAAGTCTGTCACATCATTTGGGGAAGGGCCTAGGCCCTCTTCCGTGTATCTGGGCTGAAATATTATCCCTCCATAGGGAATGGGCTCCCTAAGTCCATTTGTGCACTAGGGATAAATACTGGTTCCACTGTTAGACGCCCCATAGTCTGCCCAAACCTCCATGCTGGCACCCACATTCAGAGGATTTGGTTCAGTCCAATACTGGTTCCCCAGCTTTAAGACTGGGGTCACTGCGCTCTCACTAGGTCAGGTCAGCTGGATCTGTGGGTTTCTCAAGTATGGTCTTGACTGCTTTGCTCATCCTCCCTCCCTCTCAACACCTGGATTCTGGGAGTATGTCTCAGTGCTTAGCTGTGGGTGTCTGCTTCTGCTTCCATCAGCTACTGGATGAAGGCTCTTGGTTGGCATATAATGTAGTCATCAGTCTTACTATATGAAAAGGGCATTTACGTAGCCTTTCCATTATTGCTTAGATTCTTAGATGGGGTCATCTTTGTGGATCTCTGTACAATAAATTCCCTTGCGCCAGGTTTCTCTTTAAACCTATACTGGCTCCTTCTATTATGGGATCTCTTTTCTTGCTCTCCTCTACTCCTCCCCTGATTCAGTCTTCCTGATGTCTCTTGTTCTTCTCTCCCCTCGTCTCCTCCCCTTCTCCTTTTCCTCCTTCCCTCCCCTCTCCTACCACGCTCCCACTTTTCTCAGGAGATCTTGTCCCTTTCCCCTTCTATAGGGGTCATGTATATCTATCTTAGGGGCCTCCTTTTATCCTAGTGTCCCTTGAGGTGTGGATTATAGGCTGAGTATCCTTTGCTCTATGTCTAATATCCACTTATGAGTGAGTACATGCCATGTTTGTCTTTCTGTGACTGGGTTACATCACTCAGGATGGGTTCTTCCAGCTCCATCCATTTGCCTGCGAATTTCGAGAATCCTTTGTTTTTGTTCACTGAGTAGTACACATCTATTCTTCAGTTGAGGGGCATCTAGGTTGCTTCCATGTTCTGGCTATTACAACTATGTTGCTATGAATATAGTTGAACATATGTCCTTGTTGTATGAATGTGGGGAGCCGCCCCCACATTCTCCGTTACAAGATGGCGCCGACATCCGTTGTCAGTTGGAGTAAACAACCTTGGTGCGCACGTGCCTGCTACTTTTCTATCCCTTACTCTCTGCCTCTCCCGTGGCGTCATATGGGCTGACGAGCAGGAGCCAGTCAGGAGATGACACGTCCGAGGCGGGGACTGCTGAGCTATATAAGGGTTGGGCTTTTCGCTCCCTGGGTCTCTGCTCTGTAAGCTTATGCTCTCCCTCTCAAGACGCATTAAAGCTGTTCTGCAGAAGGATCCTAAGTGTGCCGCGTCGTTCTTGCTGGCGAGACGGTAGCGCGGGACATCTGGTGCCGAAACCCGGGAACTTGAGACCTCATCATCGTCAGCACCATCGGAGACCCCTTGGATTCAAGGAGGATTCAGAACTGCAGGTAACTACCCTCGGAGAGGTATGCTATTCTGGGACTTTGGATTGGAGCCTGTGTTACAATTGTTACATCGTTACTTTTGTTTCATTTGAGCCGCAGGTGTTTATTTTTATCATGGCTCCTCTCAATCCCTCTAGCATGTCAGAAACCAAGCGTAGTGTAGTGAGAGGTTAGGTGCACGTAAAAAGAAACCGGTTGTAACTAAGAAAGATAACCCCCCGGTAAATTTAAGGATAAGGGGGAGCCCTTACAGTCCTCAAGAGGGACATTAGAAGATAAACAAAAAAGGGGGAATTATGAATTTTTAAAAATCTGGATGATAAGGGTCAAAATGCAGCAACAAGGCATTGCTCGGATCCGCAAAGACCCAAAGAATTTGTAAAATGGAAAGATGTGCTAACTAATGAATGGAAAGGCCCGGATCCTATTCTAATAAGATCCAGGGGAGCTGTTTGTGTTTTTCCACAGAATGAAGAAAATCCCTTTTGGGTCCCAGAACGACTCACCAGAACCGTTATGGAGCAAAAGGATGGCGAGACATAACAATGGTGATGAAGAATTGGACCTATGAATTTGAGCAGATGCTTCGCGAATTGAGGGTCGCCATTGTTCAGATTAATTCTACCCGCCTTGACCTGTCCTTCACGGAGAGATTGTCTTCATGGATTTCTTCAGCTGTTTAATATTTCAAAGAATGGGTGAGGGTGGGATTGTTTGGAGCAGTCCTATGCTGCGGAATAGTGTTTATTCTCTGGCTGGTCTGCAAGCTCAGAACCCAAAACAAAAGAGATAAGGTGGTCATAGCACAAGCACTGGCTGCGCTCGAGCAAGGGGCGTCAACCGATATCTGGTTGACTATGCTTAAGCAATAGGCTGCCGACTGAACAGCTCCTGCACACCTGGAACTTAGGTTCATTGCACAGGGTAGAGTGTTTAGTCTGGCCTCCCAAGAGGGGTGTTGAGCAATGGCATCGCACAGAGAGTCATTTTCCTCTGAGAGACATGTTGTCCTGCATAAGGGTTACCTGCTGTATTTTTTCCCTTTTCCCAAAAAAAAAGGCAGAGGACAGGTCGGAAGCATCCCGGATTTTGATGAATCTAGGGATAGGTTTCGTACACGTCTCACTAATTTTGTTCTTTGGGAAGTTCAACCACTGTCTCTACCCTCTAATGTCCTGGGAGAGCCTGTTTGCTATTAAAACAAAAAGGGGGGAGATGTGGGGAGCCGCCCCCACATTCTCCGTTACAAGATGGCGCCGACATCCGTTGTCAGTTGGAGTAAACAACCTTGGTGCGCACGTGCCTGCTACTTTTCTATCCCTTACTCTCTGCCTCTCCCGTGGCGTCATATGGGCTGACGAGCAGGAGCCAGTCAGGAGATGACACGTCCGAGGCGGGGACTGCTGGGCTATATAAGGGTTGGGCTTTTCGCTCCCTGGGTCTCTGCTCTGTAAGCTTATGCTCTCCCTCTCAAGATGCATTAAAGCTGTTCTGCAGAAGGATCCTAAGTGTGCCGCGTCGTTCTTGCTGGCGAGACGGTAGCGCGGGACATATGAATGTACATCCTTTGGGTATATGCCTAAGAGTAGAATTCCTGGATCTTATGGTAGATTGATTCCCATTTTCCTGAGGAATTTCCATACTGATTTCCAAAGTGGGCACACAAGTTTGCACTCCCACCAGCAGTAAAGGAGTGTTCCTCTTTCTCCACATCCTCTCCAGCATAGACTGTCATTGGTGTTTTTTGATTTTAGGTCTTCTGACAGGAGCAAGATGGTATCTCAGAGTTGATTTGCTTTGCATTTCCCTGATGACTAAGGATGCTATGCAATTTCTTAAGTGTCTCTCAGCCATTTTAGGATTCCTCTTTTAAGAATTCTTTATTTAGTTATGGACCCCACTTTTTAATTGGATCCTTTGGTGTTTTGGAGAATTGCTTCTTGAGTTCTTTGTAAATTTTGGAAATCAGCCCTTTGTCAGATGTGGGAATGGTGAAGATATTTTCCCATTCTATGGGCTGCCTTTTTGTCTTGTTGACTGTGTCCTTTGCCTTACAGAAGCTTCTCAGTTTCAGGAGGTCCCATTTATTAATTGTTGATCTCAGTGTCAGAGCTACTGGTGTTATGTTCAGGAAGCAGTCTCCTATACCAATTCATTCAAGGGTACTTACCAGTTTCTCTTCTACGAGGTTCAGTGTGGCTGGATGTATGTTGAGATCTTTGATCCATTTGGACTTAAATTTTGTGCATGGCAATAGACATGGATCTATCTGCAGTCTTCTACATGCCAGCATCCAGTTATGACAGCACCATTTGTTAAAGATGCTTTCTTTTTCCATTGTATGATTTTAACTTCTTTGTCAAAAATCAGGTGCTCATAGATGTGTGAGTTAATATCTGGATCTTCTATTTAATTCCATTTGTCTACCTGCCTATTTTTGTGGCAATA